GGGGTTCTCAATGCTGTTCCTCTGGTCTCTGTGTCTGTCATTGTACCAGGCTGTTTTGACTACTATGGCTGTACAGTAGGTTTTGAGTTCTGGGAGTGTGAGACCTCCTACTTTGTTCTTTTTCTTCAATAGTGCTTTGCTTATTCGAGGTCTCTTTCCTTTCCATATAAAATTATGGTGATTGGTTTTTCCATATCCTTGAAGAATTCTGATGGGACCTGGCTTGGGATTGCATTGAGTGCATAGATTACTTTGGGCAGTATTGACATTTTCACAATGTTTCATCTTCCTATCCAAGAGCATGGTATGTCCTTCCATTTATGTAGATCTCTTATGGTTTCTTGGAGTAGTGATTTGTACAGGTTTTTTGTATCCCTAGTGAGATTTATTCCCAAATATTTTCTTTTATTGTAGCTATTGTAAATGGCATTGATTTCCTTATTTCCTTTTCAGCAATCTCTTTGCTGGTGTAGAGGAATCCAACTGATTTTTCTATGTTGATCTTGATTCCCACCACTCTGCTAAATCTCTCAATTAGTTCCAATAGTTTTTTTGCTGAGTCTCTTGGGTTTCTATGTGTAGGATCATATCTTCAGCAAATAGGGATAGTTTTAATTCTTCCTTACCAATCTGGATGCCTTTGATTTTCCTTTTCTTGCCTTACTGCCCTAGCTAAGACTTCCAATACAATGTTGAATAGAAGTAGTGATAGATGGCATCCTTCTCTGGTTCCTGTTCGCAAGATGAATTCTCAGTTGAGAATAGTGTTGGCTGTTGGTTTTGTATATATGCCCTTTATTATGTTCAGGAATTTCTCTTCTATTTTGGTTTTACTGAGTTTTTTTAATCAGGAAACTGTTGGATTTAATCAAATGCCTATTCTGCATTGATTGGTATATGATCCCATAGTTCTTTTCCTTTGTTTTATTTACATGGTGGATGATGTTGATTGTTTTTCTAATGTTGAACCATCCTTGCATACCTGGTATGAACCCCACTTGGTCCTTAGGCTTTCTTCATTTTGTTTTGATCTTTTTTCTGATTGATCCCTTTCCAAAGAAGTATTCAGATATTTGTCTTCAGTCTCATTAATTCTTGTCTTTCATTGCATCAATTCTACTCCTTTGCCCTTTCAGTATGTTATCTATTTCTGACAATTTAGTATTAATCTTCTGGATTTCTATCTGTAGATTTAGAATCATTTCTAATTTTTCATTTGTCATTTTGTTCTTGTATTTTCTTCCAAAATTCTTCTAGGGTTTTGTCTGTGTTTTCTTTGATCTGTCTCTCAATTCTTTGAAGATATCTAAAGATAATTCTTTTGAATTCCTTATCAGGGAGTTCCAATGCTGTGTCTTCCTGAGAGATGTGTCCTGGGTCTATGTCCTGGTCCCTTGTTTCTCCTGCTTTATCTTGCTTCTTTGTTTGGACTGTGATGTTGTCTCTGAGGCATTGTGATGTTTTGGTGTTTATATTTAATTGGTGATTGTAGTTGGAGTGACTTGCCCACAATTTTCATTTTCTTTGTTTTGTTTGTATGTTATCTACACAAACAGTGTACTGTGCTGTGCTCCTTTATTCACTAGTTGACAGCACTTGTACACTCACCACCTGTCTCCTTTCCTGTTGTCAGCCTTTTGTACATCCCTGCCAACCTTGGCAAACAGAGCCTATTCTTAGGTCCATGGAATCCAAATGAGAATGCTGTCATTTTAAAATCTAAAATCGTTGCCACTTGTAGACATTCAAAATGGCTGTGCCCTCAGTCAATTTAAAAATCCAAAATGGCCACCACTTGTAAACAATCAAAATGACTGCGCCCTCTGGACAGCAGAAAGTCAACAGCTCAGGTTGTCTCCCTCCTTGCTGTTTCCTTTCCTAGTCATTGGCCACCAGTGCAGTCATTCCTGCAGCCCTTGATGACCAGGGCTGATCTTTCAGTCAATTCTCAGGTCCCAATACCACTTGGAAATATTCAGGCTGTTGGTCCCGTCAGAGTAGCTGACAGTCCACAGCTCTGACCATCCCTGTACTCACTGTTTTTGTTCCAATTTTTCCACTAGTTGGTACCTAATCCACTTTTGTATGTTGTTGTTTGTTGTTATGTGCTGTCAAGTTGGCCCCAATTCATATTGACCCCTCTTTGGTTTCTGAGGTAGTATCACTACAGAAGTAGATTGCTCCATCTTCCTTCTGAGGAGTGGCTGATGGGTTTGAACTGCCAGCCTTCTGGTTAGCAGTCAAGTGACTTAGGCATTACCCCACCAGAGCCCCCTTTCAAAGCTTAGGGCTCCAGGATTATCTTCTGTATCTCTGTCAATTGGTTCCTCTTTTCTTTGTTGGAGAGGGTCTGTGTAGTTTGTCTGACTATTCTGCCATCTTACCAGAACTCTAGTGGCAAAGTACCAAAGTCATTTTGACTGCTAACCAGAAGGGTGGTGGTTCAAATCCACCAGCCACTCCTTGGAAGGAAGACTGGGCAATCTACTCCTGTAGTGATACTGCCTTGGAAACCCAAGGAAGGGTCACTATGAGTCAGATCTGACTTGATGGCAGTGAGTTTGGGTTTTTTGGAGTTTACCGGAAATCTAAGCAGAGATTCTTTTTTCAGTGTTTCAGCTTGAATGGTTGGAAAAGGGTCTAATAGTTTATTTGGTTGGTTCACTGAAGCATGGATTAAGCAATGGCCTACATTGCAATCAAGTTGAAATGCCAGAACTGCCTTGGCATATTGTAGAAGAAGGTATCCAAAGGCTTGGGGAAATGGGCATGTGGCAGTGCATTTAACATGTTGGACCCACCCATGGAGTGCCCAGAAAACACATTCACCACAATAGTGAAGAACAGATTTGTGAAGGGAGTCCCAGCATTCTTGAAGATCTCTTTGATTGCTATTTTATGTAAGTCAGATCAGACAGTGAGATCTGCCCTAACACAATTAAGATACCTAAGTGCAATGGGGCTAACTGGCCCTGGGGATAGTAGGGGACAAGTGGTGACAATCACCAAAAACAAGATGATTGTAGTTACCATAATGGAAAGCTCAAAGTAGTAATCAGAATAGTCTGACTCATATGGACTAAAGGCTACTGAGTCATGGTGTTTCTAGGAGTGAAATAGATGGGAAATCTACTAAATATTTACTTGAACTGTACAAGCATAAGAATTCTAGATCAAGTGAATGGCAGTCTAACCTGAATCACCAGAATAGAGGGTCATGGCCCCTCAATCAATTCCCAGCCTTGAACCAGTTTACAGACCCACAACTCCTTAAATGAAGGAGAGGCTAGGCCCCCTTGAGGATGGACTTCACTACATTGTCAAAAATTTATACTGTTAATCTTTCTCCCAGCCTTCCCCAATGGGGTCTATAGCCTTTCATTATGAGCATGACTTCATTAAGGAAAAGGACATAATCAGACTTTTGGGGAATTATTAGACACTGGTTCTAAACTGACACTAATTTCAGGAGACTGAAAATGTCACGTGGCCCACCAGTCAGTGTAGGGGTGTATGGAGGTAAGGTTACTAATGGGGTCTTGACTCGGGTCCTTATCACAGTGGAATCAATGTGTCCCCAAACCCATCCTGTAGTGATTTTCCCAGTTACAGAATACATAATTGCTATAGACGTACTCAGTAACCGACAGAACCCCACATTAGATCCCTGACATGTGGGGTAAGGGTTATTATGGTAGGAAAGCCAAGTGGAAGCCATTAGAACTGCTGCTACCTCGGGAAATAGCAAACCAAAAGCACTATCACAATTCTGGAGGGATTGCAGAGATTAGTGCCACCATCAAGGATCTGAAGGCTGCAGGGGTGTTGATTCCCAGCACATCCCCATTTAACTCACCTACTTGGCCTGTGCAAAAACAAATAGATTTTGGAGAATGACATTGGATTATCATAAACTTAACCAGGTGGTGACTCCAATTGCAACTGCTCTTCCAGATATGGTGTCATTGCTTGAACAAATTAATACATCTTCTGGTACCTGGTATGCAGCTACTGATCTGGCTAATGCCTTTTTCTCAATTCTGGTTTTGAAGGATCACCAGAAGCAGCTTGCCTTCAGCTGGCAAGGCCAGCAATATACCTTCATGGTCCTAACTTTGGTGTATTAATTCTCTAGCACCATATCATAATTTACTCTACAGGGACTTTAATTGCCTTTCCTTTCCACAAGATGTCACACTGGTTCATTACATTGATGACAGTATGCTTACTATACCTAGTAAGAAGTATCAATGACTCTAGACTTATTTGTAAGATAACTGCATGTAAAAGGTGGGAAATTAACCTGACAAAAGTTCAGGCACCTTCCACCTTGGTGAAATTTCTAGAGGTCCAGTAGTGTGGGTCATTTCAAGATATTTTTTCTAAAGTGAAGCATAAGTTGTTACATCTGGACTCTCCTACAACTAAAAAGGAGACACAAGGGAACACATCCCTCATTTGAGTGCGCTACTCTGGCACACCCAAATGGATCCAAGAAGAGACTCTGAAACTTGCTCTTGAACACAGAGTAGCTAAAGAGAATGGAAGAAATGTTGAAGTAAAAGAGCAGAAGACTTCAAAGGGTGGCTCAAGAAGACAAAGTAAAATATTATACTAAAATGTACAAAGACCTGGAGTTAAAAAACTAAAAGGGAAGAACACACTCACCATTTCTCAAGCTGAAAAAACTGAAGAAAAATTCAAGCTTTGAGTTGCAATATTGAAGGATTCTATATCACATTACCTTCCTTCTCCCAGTCTACATCTATGGCCTCATGGGGAGTTCCTTATGATCAGTTGACTGAGGAAGCGGTAACTCATGACTAGTTTACAGATGCTTCTGCATGACGCACATGCACTGCTTGGAAGTAGACAGTGGCAGCACTGCAGCACTTTCTAGGACCTCCCTGAAGGAAAGAGGTGAAGGGAAATACTTCCAGTGGGTAGAATGTTAAGTAGTGTACCTGGTCGTTCAATTTTTTTGTAAGGAGAAATGTCCAGATATGGACTGCATACTGATCCATGGGCTGTGGCCAATGGTTGGCTAGATGGTCAGGAACTTTGACGAAACATGATTGGAAAATTGGTGACAGAGAGGTATGGGGAAGAGGCATGTGGACAGAGCTCTCTGAATGGGCCAAAGAAGTGAGGATATTTGTGTCTCATGTGAATGCTCACCAAATGGTGATCTCAACAGACGATAATTTAACAATTAAGGGGCTAGGATGATGTGTTCCATGGATACCAGTCAGCCTCTTTTCCAGCCACTCCTTCACTGCCCAAAGGGCTCGTGAACAAAGTGGCCATGGTGGCAGGGATGGAGGTTATGCATGGGCTCAGCAATACAAACTTCTACTCACCAAGGCCAACTTGGCTACAGACTCTGTTGTGTGCCCAATCTGCCAGCAGCAGAGACCAACACTGAGTCCCTGAGATGGCATGATTCCTAGGAGCAATCAGCTGTCAGGTTGATTACATTGTACCAGTTTCCTCATGGAAAGGGCAGCATTTTATGCTTACTGGGATAGATACTCTGGATACGGATTTGCCTTTCCTGCATGCAATCCTTCTGCCAAAACTGCCACCCATGAACTTAAAGAATGCCTATCCACTGTCATGATATCCCACACAGCATTGCCTCAGATCAAGAAACTCACTTCACAGAAAATGAAATGCAGCCATGAGCCCACA